CACAGACCTTAAACACTTAAAGCTGTAAGCTAATGATAGTTATATAAGAGCAGATGCTGCTGGTGCAATAAGCTGTAGTTTTATGTCCAATGGATGATGATCTGATTAGTCGACTAATCGCAAAAATAATCGGTGACTAGTCGACTATCAAAATAATCGTTTGTGGCAGCCCTAGTGTGTTTTCATTAAAAAGGCTCCTAAAGGCAGCAAAAGCATAAAAATGGCTGAGGGCAGCAGGTCACCTATAGCTACCTGTGACCAGCATTCAGTTTTGACGCCTGTATTGTTGTTATGAAGAGGGGAACTATCCATACAGGCTAAAGCTACACGTTTGTGTCTGCAGTAAAACTGAGCCTTTTAATATGGGACTCTATGGGGACCGACTCGTTTGAGACGGCCTCAAGTGGCCAGTGGAGGAACTGCATTTGTTGGCTCCTGGTTTCAGATGTTGCTGCTCGGTCAGAGTATGTGAGGGCGGACCTGATTTTACCAGAATATTTCTGTATGTTATCTTTAGCTTTCGCAGCCCGGAGTCGGTGGAGATGGATGAGATCATGGCAGCCATGGTCCTGACCAGTCTGTCCTGCAGCCCTGTGGTCCAGAGCTCTCCACAAACAGATCCTGGACCTGGTCTGTATCTCCTCAACCACATATTCATTAGCACCAAGTCACAATAGCAGTCACCTCAGCAATCAGTCAACAAGCACTTGGTGACAGTGGGAAGGAAAAACGTCCTTTTAACAGGAAGAGGTGAACATAAGTTCACAAATATGGCACGCACTTCATTAAAGGTTTTAGCAGAGCTGTAACTTTATAAGCTTTATAGCAAATAAACAGGTTTTATTTGTCCAGTCTTCAGTTATAATAATGTGGACTTTGGTCCAGTAGGTGGTCAGCAGTTTGACACGGCATGGGGTAAACTATTAATAGTTTATAACTCAACTAACTTCTGTAATATTTGCTGTAACAGAGATGTTGTAGAGCACAGATCTGACGATAAGAATCGAGAACAGGATTCGATGGAGGAACTCCTTAAAGATGCCCAAACAGCTGTTTCACACACAGCTGCTGTTCAACTGTGACACAAAGAACATGGGCTCAACTCACTCCAGCTCCAGTCCATGTGTGTTATTCAATCAGCGTTTATTAGCTTGATAAACATTACCTGCTATTTTTAATGTTTTGGCAGAGCAATAAACAAAGTATGTGTGACGAGGGAACAGAGCAGAAAGGAGGGAGTAAACAGATGCTGAAAACAGGCCTGGCTGCAGCACAGGAGGCTGCTGTTCGCTGTAGGACGGGCAGAGAGGTCACAGCACGAGAAGCTTTTCATCCCAAAAAGCAACAGAGAATATTTGATATTTAAACCAGAAGGTTTCAATTTATAGACACCGATTTAATGCGGGAGTCCGTTTCCCTCAGCTCTGTGACAGACTCGAGGCTTTCTTTGAGACACGGTTCTACCTTCCTCTAGCTGGCTCATCATCCTCACCCGCTGACATGGAGTGCGGCGGAGGCGAGCTCTCAGACAGCGGCAGCAGCGGCTACTGGAGCTGGGACCACGGCAACGTCAGCCCGGCGCCCTCACCGTCGGTCACCGAGATGGACAGCAGCCCCGACGAAGGCTTGCACATGGAGCTGGAGCAGGGGGAGGAGCTCGCTGCCAAAAAACCAAAGGTGCACGGCTGCTCCGGGAAAACTGAAGACGCCGCTATAATCAACACAGCCTTTCTGCAGTTTGGACATGTCTCTGTGCACGCTCACCCGCCGTCTGCGCTCTTCCTCCCGCAGAGCTCCGTCAGAAGTGTGTACAGATGCCTGTGGCCCAGCTGTGGCAAAGTCCTCACGTCTTCAGTCGGCATAAAAAGACACATCCGTGTGCTGCATCTGGGGTGAGCTGGCACTTTGAACCTTTTCATGCATCTACAGTCACTCTTAGCAGAGATGTGGGAACAATTTAAAACAATTTTTAAAGTAGATTAAAAAAAAATAACAAAGTAAAAAGTTGTTTCCTGGCTCAGGATGAACCTCGGCGAGGCGACAGTGGCTGATTTGACACAAATGTGTGCAAAAACAAGAACGTATCATAATGATCTATTATTATGAATTAACAAACAACAAACTTTCAGCTAACGGCAGTGTGTGTTCTGTACAGAAACACAGCCATAAGAGCAGTTACACAATCACGTACATGTTATGTGCGCACAATGTGTTTCATGTAGTCCATGCGGTGTTACTGTGACCCTCCCACTCGCAGACAACGGTCGAAATTAAAATAAAATATCTGTGGTGAGAATAACTGCACACACACTTGTTCCTGGCCAATCAGATTGGACGTTCATCCTCAGCACGAGGCTCCATGTTCATATATTATTCCAAATTAATATTTCATCGTTCTATTTAAAATTGCATCACTTCACTAAACGCTCCATTTCCAAAAAATGTGAATTTTCCCACAATTATTTCATGGTTGAACAATACTGTGTAAATATGTGTATTTAAAATATTCTTTATTTTTTCCATTTTTGGTGATGATGCAGAGTTTTCTTTGTGATGCTGGGAGCAGCTGGAAGCAGTAAAATATTCCTATCATTGCACAAATGGCCAAAAATACTTTATATGATGCTTTATCTGCCGTATCATATAATGTTAGTAATCCACTAAAAATAAGTATTAATTGGTGACTTTAAGGACTCGCTGACGTTGGATGTTTTTCAGGTGTTCGCTGGTAGTCTGAGCCGAATTAAAACCAGACAGGTCGGCCTTCTGGAACATTTCTCAGCTTCAAAACAACATTAAAAAAACAGGAGGGAATAAAATTTTCAGGTTGTGGAAGCTCTGCTCGCTTAGGGGAAGGGAGATTTTCAGTCGTAGTAAGTGCTGCTCTCACTCACTCTGCAAACACACA